GTTATTCATTCAAAATATTAGAGAAATATAGAAGCTCAGTGCAGAGAAGATCTTGATTAGGTTAAAACCAAAACCAAGCCATTCACACAGAACGCATATTCAGCGCATTTTTAGACGGACAAATACGACTGCTGCACTTGCATCTCACACAAGAGATTTATAGAAAGCCATGCAAAGTTAAAACAGTCTAAACTTTTAGAAAACACGTCGCAAATTTGTGGAGGTTTATTGCTTTTCACTGCGTCTCATGTTTTTAAATGCAATCTGTGTGATCGGCGCTTCGGCTCTTTGGATTAAGCAATGCATAAATACATGATGCTGTTTTGTTCATAATTGTTTATGCAATTTACGCAATTATATTTGATTTATATGAGTTAATTTAGACGTAATGCACGTTTTTTATAGACTTATTTCCTTGCATTGACAATTTAAATGTGCTGCATTATTTTGCTCATTTTGCCCTCCTGTGGCCTCGGGAGACAAGACAAAAGTTTAACCTATTTAATCTGCATATAAAACATTAGAAATGAGATATGTTTAATTTTTATTTTGTTTTTGTCTCAATAAATTGAGTTAATTTAAAAATACAGTGGTTAAATGGGTGATTTCAGCAGAAGTTCTGTGGTCTTCATCGTTGTGTTTGCACAGGTTCATCATTGAGCTCTGTCAGCCCATTCAGGTCAAGCAGCTGGACATCGCTAACTTTGAGATCTTCTCCTCAAACCCCAAAGACTTCTTAGTCTCAATCAGTGACAGGTCAGCACTTATGGGCTCTATTACAGACTGCCTCTTTATTTATATCTTTATTTATTTTATTTATGTTTTATTTTTGAATTTCATTAAAAAAATGTTTTGTAATGCCATTTTTGTAGTTTAACATTTTTAACATTTTTACAGCACATCTGTTTGTATGTGTATGTTTATGATAGTTTCAGAACTTGTTTGTACTCAGATATCCAAACAAAAAGTGGGTGAAGCTCGGGACGTTTCATGCGCGAGATGAGCGGACGGTGCAGAGTTTTCCTCTGGATGAGCATCTGTTTGCCAAATACATCAAGGTAAGCGAGAGTGTGAGGTCAGTGGAGTCTGCACCTCGTCTCAGCTCCTTCTCTCTCTTCTCTTCCCGTTTCATCAGATATTCACCAAATACATTAAGGTTAGCCGTTCTCTCTTTACTCTGAGTGGATGAATGCTTTGAGTGGACTGGTGTTTGAACACACTTCCTTAGAAGCTCATCTTCTGTGATTTGACACTGTAATGCCATCCCATGGTTCATAGCAGCAGGTCAACATTTTGTAGGTGCTCAATCCCTGTAGTTGAGTCCTCGTGCTTAGGTTAGGGTTAGGGTTAGACAGATCAGCCCAGCAGGTTTCTCCATGAGTTACGTCACCAGTGCATCACAGACGAGTGAAATGTGTGTGAATGTCTGTGCTGTTTTCTCTCGTTTGATCTCAGCCTGGTTTTGCTTCAGATGCTGATCTTTACAGCTGACAGCAAGTGACGATTAAAGCTAACATTCAGATGTTTGTGTGATTTGAAATGCTGCTCTGTTGAACGCACATGAATAAGTGAGGTATTGTCTTATTTGCAGGTGGAGCTGCTGTCACACTTCGGCTCAGAACATTTCTGTCCTCTCAGTCTGATCAGGTCTGATGAAACTCACTCAGACACTCACTGATGCTGCTCTGAACAGACCTCGACCTTTCATTGAGTGACAGTGTGATTGACAGTAATAGTGAATGCTGACAATCTCTGTGCCTCTCACTGTGTTTCTGAAGGGTTTTTGGCACTAGTATGATGGAGGAGTATGAGATGAACTCCGAGCCATCAGACAGACAGACGCACGTTCAAGATGAGCATGATTACGGTAACGCTCACTGTCTGCAGGAAAACTGGTGTTTGTTTCAGTCTGAAGGTGGTGTCAGAGGTGCATCAACAGTGTCGTATCTCTGTCTGAATGTTTAGATCAGCCTCCTGATTTTGTGCCAGTAGATGAGAAATCCTCCAAAAACCTGATCGGATCTGCCAAAGGTCAGTGAGATCATCATTCACAGCTGTGTTTGTGTGTGAGATCCTGAGGATAAACTGGACCGCTGGGATAAACTGATGATGTCTTGTGCTTTCAGATGCTCTTCTCACTATGGTCAACAACATTGCTGCCAGTGTGCTGGGGGGACCTCCAGAGACCACAGCAGGTCTGATCCCGCCTCACCTCCTCCTGATGTCACCTAATAACACGTCTGTTCATCATGAGAGTGTGTTTCTGTTTTTCAGGAAAAGCTTCCACTGAAGGCTTAAACATGACAGAAGTGGTTTTCCCTCCTGGATCGATCCACACCGCTGCATCCACTGGGTACGTGACAGACATGAAATCATATTTTGCTTTATTTTTAGTGATGTTATTTTCAATATTTGTCTCTGAAGTGGCACCTTTCACACGTTCGTTCCTCACATTTTCATGTAGTGGTTCTTTCTGGGAAACTTTCTGCAGGACACATGTAAGCATGATATTTAGCCCCTGGAATGCGAATTTTACCAGGGGAACCCCGCCAAAACATGCATATTTTATCCTCGGAACGGGATTTTTAACGGGGGACCCCTCGAAACGCGATTGGGCGGGTTTTGTTGTGAAAACCTGGCAACCTCTTCATAAAAGCAGTGGCGACCTCAAGAGGAGGAAACACATCAAACTAACAAAACACCCCGATCAAGTTCAAGCAGGTAAGTTTCAATTACATTTTTAATATTTAGAGCTTCTGTTATGAATATTATTCCATATTTTAATTTGAATTTCGGATTGAAATAAACATCGCCGTTAGCATATACGTAGTTAATCGTTAGCATAAGCGTGGCTAACACTAATATAATGAGCATTAGAATGAATTTTGTTCATTTTGTTCAGAATGATTTCTTTAACTATTTAATGCTCCTATAACTTTTATTACTGTAAAAAACAGGAGGACATAATGGTATTTACTATTTTTACACACCAGAGGCTTTTAAATGAACCGTGTAACCAAAATATGCGTGTTAGAGAATATACAAATGTATG